GTAGCGACATATTTACAGGGCACAGACGCGCGACTGCACCTGAAGCAAAGGCAAGAATTAGCGGTACCCCAGCACCCTGACCACTTCAGCACAGCCCAAAGTATTTCACAGTTAATGACGGAACACTGTTTCCCATTACACATTGCTACATTTCCTCCAATGGCAGCTAACTTGTGAAGAGGTCCCCATAAATATTAAAGGGATTAAGGCAAACAAGCAGGCTCCTACGGCCCTGCTCCCTCGGCGCCCCCCCACCCCCGCTCGGGAGCCGAAGCGGAGGGGCGGTTTCCGGGAAGTCACGCGTTTTGTCCCAAGGGGGTGGAAACGGTCCGGGCTCACCGAACACGGCGGCCCGAGCGACGAGCGGGGGTCGCGGATCACCAGTGTGCAATTTCAGGTCCCCCTCCGGACTCGGCGCGAGCCGTGAGGGAGCATCGCCCGCACCTTGGGGCGCCTTGCCAAACCTGACTCCCACGCCGAATGCGCGCCTGCCGGCTACAGGCGAGGGACGGGCCATGTTGCTGGCATTCCAGGTGACAGGAAAAGCAGTGCGGGATTCCGCCGTGCTCCACGCAAGAGACAGGGTGTGCATGCGTGTCTCCGAGCGTGCACGTGGGCGCCTGTCTCCGAGTGCGGAGTGGGGGGGGGAATATGGCTCCCTTACCTCCCGGCCATGATCCTTGGCCTGCACAGCGCGCAACTCCACCTTGTGCAGCTCCTCCAGCGACACCTTCTTGGTATAGAAGTGGGCCACCACCTTCTGGGGCAGGGCCTCGGTGGCGTGGGAGCTGGCGTAGTCAATCTCGGCGATACACAGCGTCTTGGGGTCGCAGCCCAGCTCCTCCGAGAGCTCGCGGTTCAGACCGTCCTCCAGCGTACCGTCCCGCAGGTCCACAAAACCCCCAGGGAACCCGATCTTCCCATCGAAGCGCATCTGCATCTGACGGCGGAAAGATAGAGAGGAGGGGGGTAAATGTAAACAGAGCACAGACAGAGACACACACTCACACAAAGACACACACACAGACAGAGAGAGACACACAGACAGAGAGAGACACACAGACAGAGAGAGACACACAGACAGAGAGAGACACACAGACAGAGAGAGACACACAGACAGAGGGGCTGGGTCTGGAATAAACCACTCCCTCGCCCATAAATCTACCTCCTCCCCTGCCTACACTCCCCACCCATAACCCCAGATATTTACCCTGCCTTAGCCACTTCCCCCTCCCTCTCCGTCAGCCATTATCACTTCATTCGCACAGAATTTGACCCCGCTCTCTGGCACGTCACCCTTTTCCCCTCTCTCCCCCCCCCCCCCCACACACAACGTTCCCCTGAGAATTTAGGCCCTCCCCCGCTCTTTAAAACCTGCCTCTGGGTATTAACGCCCTTCCACAGGCCAATCGCTCTCCCCATTCCATCTACACTTGTCCCAGTTCCTTAACTCTTCTCGTGGGTTACTCACTCCTCCACAGGATGTTATAGCAGCTTCAGATTTTAACACTCTTATTGCCTCCCCACCCCTGCTGGGCATTAATCGCTACCCACTCCCCCCAGTTATTTAACCAAAACTTCCCAGGGGTATTGACTTACCCTCCCCCCCGCCCCCAGAAAATGGTTCCACAGTTTGTGGGGCTTCACTGCATAGCACAGGTATTTAACTCCACATTTATAGAACCATCCACTTCCCCCCACAACCCCTCCGATTTTGTTCGATTCTACACCACCCCCTCTCCAAGACTCTGATACTTACCCCTTCATGTACTGGTGTGTCCCCAGGTCGTTCTCACCCCAACCCACCCGCTCCTGGATATTCCCACCACCAATCACAGAGCCCCTACATGTGGAAACAGGCCATTTGGCCCATCAGGTCCCAAATGACCCCTCAAAGAGCATCCAACCCAGACGCATCCCCCTAACCTAACCCTGTAATCCTGCATTTCCCACGGCCAATCCACCCTAACCTGCACATCCCTAGGCACTACGGGATAATTTAGCACGGCCAATCCACCCTAACCTTCACATCTTTGGACTATGGCAGGAAACCCATGCAGACACGAGAAGAATGTGTAAACTCCACACAGTTGCCCAAGGCTGGAATTGAACCCGAGTCCCTGGCGCTGTGAGGCAGCAGTGCTCACCACAGAGCCACCGCGCAGCCTTTCAGAATCCTCAGTAGGTATTCCAAATCTTACCCCCTTCAGCGATAGTAAGAACTGCCAATGCAGGAGTCAGAGATAACACAGAGTGGAGCTGGATGAACACAGCAGGCCAGGCAGCATTGGAGGAGCGGGAAAGTTGACATTTCGGGGTCGGGACCCTTCTTCAGAAACGTCAACTTTCCCGCTCCTCCGATACTGCCTGGCTTGCTGTGTTCCTCCAGGTCCACACTGTGTTATCTCTTACTCCCCCTTAAGACCTGGGTAATTAGCCCAAACCCTGGGTATTTACCCCTTACAGCACCAACTAGACCCAGGGATCATTTACTCCCATATCATCCAGGATTATGAATCTTCGTTATCAAATCCCCACCAAGGCTACTGTTGACCTAGCGATATTATCGCTGGACTATTAGGCCAGAAACTCAGCTCACGCTCTCGGGACCCGGGTTCGAATCCCGTCATGGCAGGTGGTGGAATTTGAATTCAATTCGGGGAGAAAAAACCTGGAATTGCGGGGCTCCTTGCAAAAATATTTGTGCCGTCAGTAACTACAGGTGGGGTGCCACTTTAAGAAGTGGGGTGCGAGGAGAAACTGGGGAACTGCAGACCCGAGACCCTGACGGTGGATAAGTTGCTGGAAGTGATTCTGAAAGAAAGGAAGGATTACGGGTGGTCAGTGTGGTTTTGTGCGAGGAAACTTGCGTCTCACAGACTTGATTGAGTTTTTCTGAGGAAGCAACCAAAAAGACTGAGGAGGACAGAGCGTTAGACACTGTTTACTTGGAGTTCAGTAAAGCCCTTGACAAGGTTCCACATGGTAGACTAATTAGTAAAGTTAGATCTCACCAGATTCAGGGCGAGCTAGCCAACTGCGTACAAAATCAGCTTAAGAGCAGGAGACAGAGGGTGGTGGTAGTGGACGGTTGTTTTTCTGACTGGAGGCCTGTGTCCAGTGGTGATCCACAGGGATCGGTGCTGGGTCCACTGTTTGTCATTTATATAAATGATATGGATGAAGATACAGGAGGCATGGTTCGTAAGTTTGCAGATCGCACCAGGATCGGGGGTGTAGTGGATTACACAGGGATCTCGATCCATTGGGTCAATGGGCTGAGGAGGGGCAGATGGAGTTCAATTCGGATAAACGCGAGGTGTTGTGTTTCAGTAAAACAAACAAGGGGCAGGACTTATACAATGAAAAGTAGGGCCGTGGGGTGGTGTTGTAGAACAGAGACACCTGGGGGGTTCACGGATATAATTCTTTGAAGTTTGCATCACAGGTAGACAGGGTAGGGAAGAAGGTGTTTGGCACGCTTGCCTTCGTCGCTCAGCCCCTTTGAGTGTAGGAGTTGGGGACGTCATGTTGAGGTTGTACAGGATGTTGGTGAGGCCTCTTCTGGAGCACTGTGCCCAGTTCTGGTCGCCCCGTTATAGGAAGGATTTTATTCAACTGGAGGGGGTTCAGGAGAGATTTACCAGGATGTTGCCAGGAATGGATGGTTTGAGTTATAAGGCGAGGCTGGGACTTTTTCACTGGCACTGGTTAAGGGGTGACCTTATAGAGGTTTATAAAATCATGAAGGGTATAGATAAGGTGAATGGTGGGTGTCTTTTCCCCAGGGTGGGACATTTTGAGACTAGGGAGCATATTTTTAAAAAGGAGAGAGGAGAAAGATTTAAAATTGAAACGATACACAGCAAGTAGTTCACGTGTGGAATGAGCTTCCAGAGGAAGTGGTGGATGTGGGTACAGTTCCAACGTTTAGAAGCCATTTGGATAAGTACACGGATGGGGAAAGGTTTGGAGGGGTATGGGCCAGGAGCAGGCCGGTGTGGGACTGGTTTAGTTTGGGGTTATGGTCGGCACAGACTGGTTGGTCTGCTCCCATGCCCTGTGATTACTACAAAGTTTCTTCAAGGGCAGCTGGGGATGAGCGATAAATGCTGGCCAACCAGCAACTCTACAAATGAATTTTAAAATAGTTTACCTGCTCTATTCCCCCTCAGGAGGTATTTATCTCATGATTCACCCCACTAGTCCATCTGCACCTCAATGGGGTATTCTCTGTGGGGGGATGGGAGGACGGGGGGACGGGGAGGGGGGCGGGGGGAACGGTGGGGTGCGGAGATTTATCTCTCCATTCACTGTATTTAAACCAACTAGCTCCAGGCATATCAATACCCACTATCGTAAATTCTGGGGCGTGGGCCTCATCCATCCTTATTAGGGGCATTTAAATCCTCCGCCCCCCTCGCTGGGGTTTTTACTCCCCCTGTACACCTCAAAGGGGACTTACACCCTCTATCCATCATGGGACATTTAAGCCCTGTGTTCCCCTTGGGGTATTTACACTGCCCACTGCCCGTGGAGAGGTTTACTGCAGCCGGTGAGCAAGGTGTTATGGTCAGACCCCATCGCAAATCCAGGAGCAGGGATGCCTCGCTGCAATGGTTACAGGGCGAGAGCGCCCCCTGGAGGATTGCGAGAGCGGCTTCGGGAGGTCCAGAATTGGAGGAGGGATGGTTCTGGCGACACAGCAAGACCGATCCCTGACATAGGTAGGGGGACTGGATCAGTTAGGGACTGTATTCACTGGAGGTTTTAGAAGAATAGAGAAGGGGATTCGAGAGAAACCTACAAAATTCTTGGCGGGGGGGGGGGGGGGAGGAGGGGGGGCTCCTGATAAGGCGGGGAGGGGGGGGGGAGGGTGAAGCACTGAAAGTTTTCCAGAAGGAGTTGGATAGAGTTCTTAGGGGCAAAAGGGATCGGAAGGGTAGATGGGGAGAAAGCAGGAACCAGAGAAGACTGAGTTGGATCATCAGGGGGTATTTGTCCCATTAAATCTGAGGGTATTTATCTGACATTACCATACACCAGAGGGTACTGAGCCTGGCTAGTGAACTTGCCGACATCCCTCATTACCTGGGGCCGGGGGGGGGGGGGGGGGGGGCGGTGGGTATTCTGACCCTCTGGCAGCTCCCCATTTCCCAGGGGGGGTTTTTTCTCTGATGCCCTCTGGGGACGGATAATTAAACTACCTAACTAGGGGCTAAGTAATCCCACTGATACTCAGCTTTTCCCAGCGAATGTTTAACTCCTAAACACCCCACTAACTGGCAGGGGGGCGGTGGGGGTAATTAAACCCTCAGAAACACGCCTCCTGTTGAGGGAGGTATTTGAAATCCATTCACGGGGCATTTAAAACCCAACACAACCCCACCCCCTCATTTTGTTGGGGAGTTTCAACTCTCCCGCATTCTCATTTTCTTGGGGTCTTCATACCAACAGGCAGTCTGAGGGGGGGGCGGCTGGTGTCTGAACCCCCGTTGACACCAGGGCGTATATAAATCCCCCAACACACGCAGCCCCGAAGGGGGTGGGGGGTTTTTAACCCCCGACACACACACAGCCCCCGGG